CCAAGTGGTTTCTGAGGGTCATTAAAGGAGTCTAACATCTAATAGGGCCAACAGAAGACTAAGCACAACAGGATGTGATATGTTAAAAGGTCAATAAGGACGAAGCCCTTCCACAGCCACAGAGTAAATAATTCATGCGACAGAAAGACTTCAGGTGACCTTCAAGTTCCTTACAGCACTCCAGACAGAAGAGAGCAAAATAGAGCGAGAGAGTGAATGAGAGGAAGGACATGAAATATAAAATAAACACACACAGAATCATAGATAGAGACAGAAGCTTTACCAGTAACAAGCTACTTTTCCAAGAAGCAGTGAACAACAAGAACACTATAAACAATATACACTATCAAATGTGTTCGGTCTTTATCTTATAATGAAGCTTTGGGAAATCCAGATGTTTTTAGTGAATCAGTTCATTCAGATGTTTCAGTAAATAAATAAATAAATAATTCACAAAAGAGTATTCTAATATTAATAACTGTCATTTAAAATATAGATAGGTGCTTAAAAAAGTAAAAAAACAAAACAATCAAAAGTTAAATTCAGCTGTTGATTATGGAGCCCCGTCCATGACATGCAGAAGAAAAAAATAGATATTGTGGCCACAAATGAAGAAATAATTCCCACAACTTATTAAGTTGTGGCCACATTTGATTAATTTGTACCCTCATTTTAGTTAATATTTACATAAACTTGGGTCACATGACTACTAATAAATTCCCTTGTTTTAATATAGTTATATTGTGGTGACTAAATAAATGTAACTAAAATGTGGGAGAATAAAAACATTTATTATATTATATTAAAAAGTACTAAAGTAGCTTGTAGCTTGACAAACTATATTTTAAAAGTAGCTTTATTATGTGAAAATTAGACAGAGAAAAAGACAGAGATAGAGAGCGAGAGAGAGACAAATAAAGAGAGAGAGAGATCTACTTCTGGTGAAGAGGGGGAAAACAGATAGGCAAGAGACGGATGCAGATGAGGCCGTGAGAGAAACCAACATCATTCCCAGCCTCTCCATATAATCATTCCCATCCACCCCAAATCCTGGCCAGACGCCAGCTTGCACTTCACCCCGCAGTCAGCGAACAGCCCGCTATTATAGGATGCCTCCAGTCTGCGTCCAGTGCGGTCGGGCAAGGAGTGTCTATTTCGGAAGATTTAGGCTGAATTCCGACGACTCGCAGTCTCTCGTCGTCCCAGTGTCGCCCATCCCAATCAATCCCAGGAGGCCATGGGGCAGGGTAATGAAATGGGAAGCCTGGTAATTACGCTGTAGTGAGTAATTATCAGGTTGTTTCACAAGCACTTTAAAGTCCCCGATGCACCATTTTACCAGCGTGTGACAGCGGGATGGCCTTTTTCACAAAGGGACCTCCCTATCAGAGGCGTGTGTCCATATTTTGCCACCTGCAGGGGGCAGTGTCTTCATATGCACCGACCACCTCCACACTAATCTGGCATCTCAGATGGTATTTATGTGGGGTTTTGGGCACACATGGACCCTACAGTGTGAATTCACAACCTCGTAACCACAAGTCTGAGATCCGAAAGGCAATCTGACAAGCATGTGGAAGGCCTATCCCACAACGTACTGACAGATGAACGGGCCGCTGATAGCTCTGACAAGAGCAATTTTCACAGATGGTAGTTTAAAGCGTACGAGGGGAGTAAAAAGAAGACATAGCGCTGGTATAATTACAGGGAGGGGAAACAAAGAGGAAAATCTATCACTCGGCCATCGTTTTACAACTAAGATGGATCTCTCCGTCTGTGATCGTCCGACTGGCCTCCCCGGAGGCGGCACAACTGAATTGCAAACTCTATGTGCAACTCATGATAAATCTGTGTGTGTGTGAGAGATAGCCGTCCCCCTTCTCGGCGCTCGTTGGAGTGTGCGTCTCTGGAGAGCATGTCTGCGCGTTTATTTGGCTTAATTACTATGCTGCATTCACAGGGGGAGTGAGAATGAAAGACACTTCACTTAACGACTATCCTCTCCTGGCCAACTACTGTCTGCCCACCGCCTTCATTAAGACAGCCGCTCTCTTCCCCTCCCGCTCCCTCTTTGCCACTCTTCCTCCATCCTTTCCTCTCTTCCTCTCTCTCGTTTTAACACTCAGACACTGTGTGGGTGTGAACAGTGATCTGTCATACTGCAGAGCATCAAAAGAGCCATCAAGCACCCGTGGACACACACACACACAAACAGCTCTATGACCATGGCCAGGTGTCTAATTATCTAAGCCTGCCTCCATTCTCACACATCTTGCTGGCCAAAAACACATCAGACACATTTTCTGTATATTTCATGACAGCAAAAATGCATGATTTAAATGTTTTTAATATTTTGATATTATATCAATATTATATAAATACACAGTACAATTTTATGACAGAAAATTAGATTAACGAACAAATTCTGCATCAAAAACAATTCTTTCTAGTAATATTTGTTCAAAATTCACTCAACAATTATTAAAAAGGGAAACTTTTCATTTACAAGGCTGTCAGTAGATTTTGGAGGTAGAATGCTGACTTCTAAATGATACGTTACTATTTGCATGCTACTAGTCTTGTATTTCTGTGTGCTATTTGCTCTTTAGACATTATCTGGTGATCAAATTAGTCTTAACACACCTGAATAAAATGCTACAATAGACTGTTTTCTAACCAGGCATAAAGTGTTAAAGTAACAAGCGATTAAATCTTTTTGTTCATATCTAACAACGAGCGACAGGACATTTGACATTTTATCACATGCTTAGTTATGTATGTCTGTGGCATCACACTGGAAAGCTGCCCTGCTCTAGAGATCCCATTTGTCCGAAATCCTATTCCACACAAGTGTTACACAAACACCAATTATCATTTGATTGGCGGTGGTTGTGTTACGTCACACAGCATTTTCGCAATAGTTGGAAACATCTAGTTTGTTCTCAGTTTAAGAGGATTCAGAATTCAGTAAAAAAAAATAGTTCTTATCCAATGCGAAAACATCTTATTGTACAGAATGTGAGCCATTTTGACATCCCCAATGGATTTGCATAGCAGTACAGCTTGTGTGTGTTTTTATCTGACTACATCTGTTAATCAAACTTAATCCAAATCCATTACGACATACAAAAAACTCAGAAAAACATATCCATAAAGTGCACAGGTGGCATAAGTTTGGAAAGCATTTTGATGACGCAATGTGAGACTGTTTTCCCACAATGCTTTGGGCCATCCAAGCACAACAGCATTAACTCAGAGAAGCATGTGATTGATCACAGGTGGACCTGCATCTTTTATATATTAAAGTCTCCAGCCTTTCCTCTTAAAGTTAAACAGCAAATGCTGATGCTCGGAGCAACAATTGGTTTCTTAAATCCTCTCTGTTCTCTGGCTCTCTCTTTCCTAACAACACATTCTCAGACAAAAATAAATTGTCTTTTTCACTCCTTCTTCATTCTCTGTCTCTATAAAAGAAATGAGAGGGCGTTAAATGGACCCTGGTGGGGTAAACCCATGCCACACACAGATCTTACAATCAACACACCAGAAGCGCAGATTCACTGACAGAACAGAAGGCTATATTTACCAAATGAGGGAGAGAGAGATCACCACCACACATACATGCGTATACTTTTGGTCATGTTCCTGAACAAAGAACCACAGCAAGCCCGCTAAGCTTACATTAAAAAGCGAAACGGCCCAAAATATGCCAAAAATGCTGCCACTTATTTCCGTGAGAGATGAAAGCTCTGGTTTACAAAGAGGCTGCTATAGTCTGGATCTCTCCGCTGTCTCCTTTAAAATAGCACAGCCCAGAGAATAACATGTTTGCTGTTACCACCATTCACGCATAGCGGCCAGCATCGTCAAAGTATTCGAATACAATGTGTTGAGTACTGTATGAGAGAATAATGCTAATACACAATGTGTGCGAGCATAAGTATGCATACTTGCTAGAATGTGTACACATGCCATTTATTGTGACAAAGCTAGTAAACGCAAAGGTATTTCGTCTTCAGTACAAGTTGAATTGACAGCAGTTTTTTAGCACTAAAATGTCCCACTTATCCCTCCCTTTCATCTAAAAAGGCAAAATTCTAGGTTAAATGAGGCACTTACAATGGAAGTAAAAGAGAAACATCTGTAAATGTTAAAACACTCACTGTTTCAATAGTATAGAAACAAAACATAAACCATATACATACATTAACATGATTTCAGTGTGGAAAAAAACACTTTCTAACCTTTTCCGTGTAGTTACTTCTAATTTTGACAACTTTGTTGCCATGACAATAGAACACCATAAACCCTAAAATGACTGTAAAAATAGATTTACAGCACACGTTTTAACAGGAGAATCAATGTTAGTGCTCTTATCGAATTAGACGCTTCACGTTTCACTTTAAAATGTTCACTTTCAAAATTGGCCACATTCACGTTAGTGCTTCACTGTAACACATTTTTTTTTATCTCCTTTCTTTTTTTTTAAAGAAAATGACAGAGGAGTCAAAATTATATGCGTGCTAATCAGCATACTGTCAATTGAGCTTAACATGCATTGAACCAGGAATATTCCCTTAAAGGACTGCTGTAAAATCAATTTGGAGGCATGAGAAATTAGACTTCTGGCTGCAAATGCAGAGTCATTACCCACGATACCTCATTCAGAGTTCACAAGCCGAATGACAGGGTACCAGTGCAGAGTTTAGAGCTACAGGACAGTGCAACCGGAAAAATTATATAGAAGAGCCAATACATGCACTTTGAACACATGGAAACAATCTGTTAGGGCAAAACGAGACTAAATCCCATGCAAGAGAGTGAGAGAGACTGTCAAAATGAAACAGCAGAGTGACAGTGAAGGAATCCAAATATATATATATATATAATGGCAAAAAAGTCAAATTTGCGAATGTAAATAGGTGTAAGACAGGTAATGAGAATTAAAAAAGGTAAAAAGGCTTGTATGCGTTGGTGATGGGACTGGTTGCAAAACTTACCCTTGTAGGAGAGCTTGAGTCTGGGCACGCTCTCTTTGGTGTGCTGGGGTGCAACTCTTCCAGGTAACGCCACCCCACACAACAGCAGAAAAATCCCAACTAGGTAATCCATGGTGCTGGAGCGCTGGCCTCCAGCCCAGGGGGGCTTGCAGCCCACAGTGCCCAGAGCAAAGTGCTTCCCTCTGGGATAGCGGAGATCTTCGTAGTCCCTCCTTACTTCAAAAGATCCAGCGCCTGGAGCTTCTCCCCAAGGAGGCAATCCGAAATCAGATTCCAAGTGAAGCAGGAGACGGGGGTTCACATGGCTCCATGTGGGGGGCGTTTCACCGGTCGTGGGGGTAAAGGTGTACTCCTCAGGGATGCGTTCTCGGACCCTGGTGGGGAGGACCGGTGAGTGGGATTGTGTGTTTTTGGGAGAGGTAGAGTTTCAGTAAGGGATCCGGCAGACCCTCTCTCTCCGCTATGGCTTCGCGCACACACACTCTCACACACACTCTCACAGACTGCTGCTTGTGTCCACGGCTCAGCCTGAATGAGAGGGAGAGAGAGAGAGCAGTACACCATCCACCGGAGCACAGGAGGGGAGGGGAGAAGAGGAGAGGGAGGGTAAGCAGCTGAAGGGGGGGGACGAGGGAGCTGAGCTGAAAGGAGAGGTATGCGAAAGACTCTTCTGCAAAGGTTTGGCTGCTCTGTGTCCTTCTTTTCTGCATTGCTTATAGGCTGCACCTACAGTGCATTGTCTTCCCTCCTCTCCTTTTTGGCTTTCTGGCAGACCATCATATTTCATCATATTCTGAGCCTCTTGAATATTTCTGTTTGTCTGTGCATTAGCCTGGATTTATGTGTTTGAGTACAATTAAAATAGTGATAATGAAAATTGTATAAAAGGGTTGATTAAAATAGCATACTTACATATTTAAATAACATTACAAATATTAAAACAAAAATAATATTAAAATATTATATTAAAACGTCTTTATTTTTTATTATTTTTTTAAATTAATATTAAAAAAATAAAAATACAAGAAATTCTATCTATCTATCTATAATAAAAATGATTAATATAATAAATTAACCATAAAATTATTAAAAAATAAATAAATAAAGGAAGAAGTAAAAAAAATACATACATAAATATCTAAATTCAGGAATTGAGGTTAATAAATACTCTAAAATAAAATAAAAATAGAAAAAAAAATCTATCTATCTATCTATCTATCTATCTATCTATCTATCTATCTATCTAATAATAAATAGATCAATAAACTGTAGAACAAATTCTCTGCTACTTTAAAGTATTTCTCTTTTTGTCATTGTGAGAAATGTTCCTCTTTGGTGTCCATAAACCAACTTCAGCCTTTCTATTAAAATATGTGGCAAGCAAATGAGATTTACTAGTAATACTTAAAACATAAATTAAAAAGTAATACATCGAGCTAGACTATCCTGCCTTCTTACCCTTCACTCACTCTCTGCTTGTTGCAACAAAGCCTCTGATAGACAGAGGTGTTAATGTGTGATTTTTCACCCCTGAGTGCTAAAGACAAAAGTGCCTCACAAACACCAGCTGAGTGTGTGAAGGTATTTCACAACCTCGCAAATGCGCAAAAAAGAAAAAAAAAATCGACAGATCTCTCAATGCCTTTGGCATGTCTGTATATAAGTGTTTCCTGCTTTCATGAGAGGGTCTGTGCCAATGTCTCATCACCTTTACAACCAAACATGCTCTTTAGGTGTTTACACCACATAGACCTGCGGAGATGATGGACAGACACTACACCTCCTCCTCCTTAGACATCAGGAGGCTAAAAACATCCACCTGCAGCCTGGTCTCTATCCACTCACAGCAGATCCGCTGGCATGCCGAGGTTTTCCTCTGGTCGTCGCTCTTCTGTACCGCAACTATGTGGAGGGGATTTGTCAGGGTGCTTTGACTAATGATGTCTTAATGAATTGCGACTCGCCGTGCGCTAAAACGAGATAGCTCATTGACAACTAGTTTCCAGAAGCCTGTCAGTAGCAAAGTGGCAAATATAGCCTCTGAAACATGAGATCCACAGAGGAGTGGCCTCCTCGAAACACAGCGAATGGATCCTGTCAGTCAGAGTGGCTTTCATAAATACGGCATTTGTGTTGAGGATGTAGGCTTGCTAAGTGTTTGTGTAATCTTTAGTGCAAATGCAATGGGTCTTTGACACCTGTTGGTGTGGAATGATTTGTGCAATCTACTGTACAAATAACAAATGTAAATAATTACCTGTCTGTCACTTACGACTAGGCCTATAGGCAAATGCTCACATTGCTGGCATGTATATACATGCAGAAGCACACACGTGCATGTACAAATCAATGACACGTAGGTGACTTCTTGTATTCATCCTTTGTTCCAAGAAATGACTGAAGGTGATATAAGCGACAGTTGGTGATGCAAAAACGAATTAGTATTTTTGTCTAATTTTTCAGTTAAAATATCTAAAAATCCTTAAAACAAGGATAATTTACTTTAGAAATGCAAACGGGATCAACTAGGATCATCAAAATACCACAAAATGTTTTTAATGTATTTATCAATATATATATATATATATATATATATATATATATACACACACACACACACACACACACACT